CACGTGGCCAAGTGCTCTGTGCGACTTGTGGTTCTGCTACCAAGTAAAATTGTCCCACAAGCAAGTCTCAAGTTCAAGAAAAAACAGCATAACAAAATCACAGAAAATCACAAAAGCATCCCTAGTCCACTCAACTATGAGCTTTATTGTTGGAAATTTCGTTCATTTCTTTTGTGCAATTTACTTCCCAGACCTGGGTACTATTTTTGGCAGCTGCACCAAGCCAACTTCATAGTTAAGGTGAAGATGTGTTTTGTAGTTTTACTAATACTGCAAGTTTTAACATCTCTTCTCTGGATTTCATAACAAGTATTGCTATTTTTTCATGTCTCAAATTCCCACTGTGACAAGTAACAAAACACAAATTTACTGCAATAAATAGAACATGTAAGAATATTTGTGGTGTTGCTTAATCAGCTGGGATTTATGGGGCAACTATTCTGTGCAAGGCACTGTACTAGCTCTGAAACTTGTTATGTAAGAATATTTGTGTTATTGCTTAATCAGCTGGGTTTATGGAGCAACTAATTTGTGCAAGGCACTGGACTAGCCCTGAAACTCTTGTTAATATAAACTCTCTTAATATTAGGTTGGTGGAAAAGTAATTGCTGTTTTGGCCATGAAAAGTAATTGCAAAAATCGCAATTTTGCATCAGTCTCATAATTAATTGGTTTTTAATTGGTTGGTTAAGTTTTTAAGAGACAGTGTGTATTTGTATTTTAAAGTAGTGAAATACAATGAGATCAAATCTGTAAAGTAACAGCAACAGCAATAGTACTGTTGTTCTTGTCAAGAGACTTTGGAAGCAAGGGAAACAGCCAGCTGCAATCCATCAGCAATTCTTCCCCAAACCCATCTAGATCCTGGTACTATCTAATTTAGTTTTGGATCTTTAGCGGAAATTAATAGCTATAATAATTATAATAATTATGTTAGATTTATAGAACAGCTTTCCTTCCAAGAGCACAAGCCTCTTAGAGCTCTGCAGATGTTCCATAAATACATGTCCCCTAATGGAATCACAATGAGGCCACTTCTAGATGGTCTCAATATTGCTATCAAGCTTTGTGGACTGGACTGACCTGTGCACAATTGAAAAGGGGCTCTTCACATCGTTCCTTTCTAGGAATAAGCTTCCCACAGCGTTGTATCTAGGAAAGGAATTCTATAGCCAATGTGGTTTGGTGAATAAGAAGCCTTTTTTGTTATTTTTTTAAATGAATGGATGATATATAATGCTATCACAATGCTATTCGCAATCAACAAGTGAATGCTGACTATGCAGTAAATACAGAATAAGGAATAGGGAAACATAACCTGAATTTCATCTTTTTTTTCCTCATGTCTCTGAACTTTAAGTCCCTAAAGGCCAGGGTTTTGCCTTGCTTTGTGACTTCCCTTAGAGTAAATACAGTGACAACCTATGTTAGAGGATTTTGTTTTTATTATTACCATCCAAACAATTTTAAGGCAAGACTGTCTGAATTAGGAACTGGGCTATTTTGCAAGATGCCATTTCTATTAATTTTCTATTAAGTTTTTACTAGATATTTTTTCTTTACTTTGTAGAGATCTGGAGCTACAAAGGACCTGTGAAGTGCAAAAATGTGTAAAATGGATGTAATACCAGGATTTAAGGTGTAGAGGGACAGCAGTATGTCTCTTTCAACATCACCATCTGGAATGGATTAGTGTTAATGAGTCACTTAATTCTTAAACTGATACAAAAGCATGGGCACCAACTCCCCTCTCTCATGCTGTGAGCAACTCTCAATCTCACTGGGAAGGACTGACTTGGAAAACCATTTTTCCATAAAACAGTCTGTGATTGATAAACAAGCATTCAGTGCAGCAACCCATTAAACCAAACAAACAAAAACAAGTTTCAGATGGCCTTGACACATGGAAGAGTGGAAGAGTGTTACCTGGTGGACTCCTGCTTGTAGATGTCAATGATATTTTCCACCAGCAGGTTCCTCTGAAGTCCATATACCCCATGTCTATCCAAAACCACTTCATGTCTACAGGATGGGCAGCGGAATCGGCCCCCTGATGCCATGGTGGTGCCTCCTCTTGTGGGCAAATACGGGTTAGAGGCCTGTTCTTGCCAAGTAAGAAAAAAGGAATTGGGTAATGCCACAAGTAGCTTCTCCGAGACTTGTTTTCACTCTCTGCTACTACAAACAACATGAACTTCTACTTTAAGCTTGCCATAAGATCATCCCTCAGGGCTTTCTCAGCAAGTGGTCCTGAAACACAGGGTCAGACCTTATCCACAGTCATATGCGAACATACCACTGTCTACATAAGATATTTTTCCATTCCACATTTTCAGAACCAAAAGTTCCAGCCAGAAACTCCACATTAAAGTCTTCAGCAATTACTTATTTATAGTTTTGAAACACATTCAATGGTTTGATTTTTAAAAATATATGATTCTTAGTATTAAAATAAAACTAGATTTGGGAGTAAAGAGGACACAAACCAAATCGTTAAAATAAACATGTTTTTCTTGAAAGTAAATGCAACTTTATAAAGTTTTGTTTGTTTGTTTGTTTGTTTTTCTTTTTTTGAGACAGAGTTTCACTCCGTTGCCCAGGCTGGAGTGCAATGGCACAATCTCAGCTCACTGCAACCTCCACCTCCTGGGTTCAAGCAATTCTCCTGCCTCAGCCTCCCAAGTACCTGAGATTATAGGTGCCCGCCACCATGCCCAGCTAATTTTTTTTTTTTTTTTTTGTATTTTTAGTGGAGATGGGGTTTCGCCATGTTAGCCAGCCTGGTCTCGAGTGCCTGACCTCAGGTGATCCACTGGCCTCGGCCTCCCAAAGTGCTGGGATTATAGGTGTGAGCCACCGCACCCGGCAACCTTATAAAGTTTTTTAAAGGATTTCACCTCAATGTTAAGCACTTGATTCCAAGAGAAGGGAATCTTTTCCACCCCCTCCCCCCAACCAAATTCCAAACAAACCTACCTGGAAAATATCACTGGCACATTTCCTACACAGGTTGTGCTGACAGGGGAGAATGACCACGGGTTTCGTGAACATCTCTAAGCAGATGGGACAGATGAGTTGCTTCTCTAAGTTATCCATGGTCTGCTGCTCTTTGGAAAAAGACTTGTAATTCAGAGATGCGCTCATCTCCTCGCTGTCCCCAAGTGTGCTGCCAGGGAAGGGTGCTGCAAGTGGCTCCAGCAAGTGTTTCCTGGATATTATTCCAGGGATTGTGTGATCAAGTGTCCTTTACGTTTCCCTCGGTGGAGGACATTGTTTCAGGCCCTGGTTTGGAGTGGGTGCCGGAGCTGTTTTTAGCAACCTGCAGTCACGTGATGTGGGCTGACTTGTCCATATAAGCCAGTGACAGGAGGATGGATCCTGACAGGTGACGAGCAGGAGTCAACATTCTTGCCCCAGGGAGTGAAGAGAGTGGGTGGGAAGGAGGATTACAAACCTCATTTAGACAGGGTTGTGAAGAGAAGGAGGTCAAAGCTGACAGTTGTCAACAACAAATGCAAATGTGCATGCCTAGCCACTGAACCATGCCCTCTGTGAACACTCACTGAGAATTTGGTGACAGTTTCTCCAGGAAGGGGCAGAACGCAGCACAGAGTCTGACTGTGTAACTAATGCCAGCCCTGTCTTGAGAGTGTAGGAACTGAGTCACCGAACGTAGCCTAATAGAGCCTCCTTAGGTGAAAATGAACAAAACATGTCTTGAAAATTGTTATCCAGGCTTCACAAGGGCAATCATCAAAAAGACTTTCTTAATGTTAGGTATTTCATCTTTGTCAGCTGGGGTTGTGGTCTTTGAAAAATTACAATTTAAAAGCTAAATTCAAATCTTCACCATAAAGGTATCCACCTCATAAATAAATAAATACATGCATAAATAAAAATTCAAAACCAGTGGATGATCTAATTATTTGAGAAAAAAGTTATATGATAAAACAACTCTAGTATGCTGTCTGCTCTTCCGCATTGCTTTCCTCTTCCTTGGCCCTCTTTCCTCCTATGCTGCCCCGCCTCCTACACACACCCAAAAACACAAAGCAAATTTGATGGTCTTTTACTGATTATTTAAATTCTTAAATTATATAATAGTTTGCAACAATAATCAGTAATGAGGTAGCAACTGGCAGGGGCCTGGGGGTGGCAAATCTATTATTTCATTTTGTCATCCCTTGGGGCACAGTTACCAGTGCCATTGACAAGTGAAGTATAAATGGAGTCCTATTTCCATACCTGCATTTCATCTGCCTCCAAAATAACTATACGCCCTTGCATTTCCCCTTCCTCCAAGGTGACTTTTTAAACCATAGTTTCTCTGGTCATTTCTAATATTCTTGGTCTGCTCTTGAGTCATAAACATTGATTCTGACATTCATCGGGATTTTGTGAAGCGACAGTTTAACCAATAAATATTGTATTTAAAAATGTTTAAATCAGATCAAAAATGAAAAAGAAATCTATGTCTGTTTATATGTGATAAATTTCGGCTTTCTTTCTCCTTGATTTTAAAAACCTGGGACAATGAACACATTTTGTTAACATATCCCTGGTGTGAATTAGATCACCAGTGAAGTGTAGGTCAGTGTGACTGGTTATGTGTGGTCTTAGTGCTGTGTGCACAGAGAGCTTATTGAGAATCTAACAAGCTCTATTAATTAATAATAAGTTATATGTATTCATAAACATATCGGGGATCTTTAGAGAATTATCTTAGTCCTTTCAATATTTATTTAGCAACTACAGTGAGGACAGGAACTGGTAAAATGTTTTTAACTGAATTACTTCAGTTCACCCAGCCTAGACAGTTAATTGTGTTTACCAATTCATGGGCTGTGGAGGGGAGGTCTGAATACAATATGTGAGATATTTTCTAGGAAAGATTAAGTTTCTACTGCCAAAGACCTTGCAATCTAAGTAAAAGCACTTAAACTAATCATGTACATTGCAGCAGAGTCTTTTCTTGTAGAAGGAATTCATTCCTTCAAAATACATTCATTGGATATGTGTAGTGTGTCTCCATTGTGTGAGGCTCTGGGGATTGAAAGATGAACAAGACATAGGTCATTGTCCTCAAGGAGCCCAGTCTGAGTGGAGATGAGACGTGCACACACACAACATAGTACTAAATAAAATGTAATAAAGAGTCCAAGCCAAAAAGTACCTGAGACAGGTCTCAATCGAGAAAGTTAAGGGCGCGTGCCAGGAGGCAGGTCTGTGCTTTTCTCCAGAGAAGATTTCGGAGACTTCAATATTTAAAGGGAAAAGGATGGATATTGGGGAAGGAGAAAAAAAATTTCTCAGTTGTGGGTATAGATAAGAGGCAAACGGTTGCATTCTTTCGAGTCTTTGATCAGTCTTTCACCAAATACATAATTTACATGTTGGGGCTGGGTGGTAGGTAGAGGAATAATAGTCATTTATGTCTTCCTCTAGCTCAGTGAGTCTGCATTTTTACATCAGAGGAAGAAAGCAGATATGCATTTGTCTCAGGTAAGCAGAGAGATGACTTAGAGTTCTGTCCTTTGTACCACGCCTGTGAAGATAAGCTGTCAATTTACACTGTCAGGGTAAAATTCAACAAAACTGTTTTAAGGTAAAGATATTGGGGCCTGTAAGGAATTTCCCAGTGTGCAAATTGTAAGGGAGGTATGTAGCTTTTAAATCTTTGTAGCTATCTTATTTAGGAATAATGTGGGAGGCAGGTTTGCCTGACGCAGTTCCCAGCTTGACTTTTCCCTTTGGCTTATGATTTTGGGGTCCCAAGATTTATTTTCCTTTCACAACAGCTACAGCAATTCAGGGTCGGAGGAATCAGAAGGGCTTCATGGGTGGGGGTAGTGTCTGAACTGCTGCACCGAGGATCTCAGAGGGATGGAGGTGTAGTTAGGTGGGGCATGGCTGGGGCTTTCCAAGAGAAGGCACAGCAGCAGCAACGTGGGCATGCACAGGCGTGCAGGGGATCTCCGAGCCACGGTGACTTGAGCTGGAGTGCACGCATACTGCTCAAGCATTGACTGGCCATGGATACTGCGTTAAAGAGTTTTTAACACTTAATAAATTAAGCAGCAGGAAGTCGTTAAAAGTTTCTCACTTCCGTGAGGGCAGTGGTTGGTTAGATTGATCTTTCAGTGAGAATTGGGTTAGATTAGCATGAAGGTGACTGGCTAAAGACCAGATCAGAGGCTGTTGGCAATAGTCCAGGTGAGAGGTCGGGAAGCCCTGGCACAGGTCATGGCAGTGGGGAAGGAAAGAAGGAAATGATCCCTGGGGCTGCTATGAAAGTAGAATCCACAGAGATGACTCAGATGCGTGAGCCTGAGTGACCGATGATGTAGTGAGAGGCTGCAGAGTGAGTCAGAGACAGTCAGGCTTTCTCCCAACTTCTGCATCTACCTCGCTTTGTGGTCTTGGAAGGTGACCTCACCTAGGAGGATTTCAGTTCTGCCCTCTATAAGTGAGTGGGGTTCATAACCTAGCTTAGCAGTATTCGTAGAAAAAAACAAAAACCTCTGAAACAGTATTTTCTTTTAAGAGACCGAGAGTCACTCTGTTGCCCAAACTGGAGTGTAGTGGCGCAGTCATAGCTCACTGAAACCTCAAACTCCTGAGCTCAAGCAATCCCCCCACCTTAGCCCCCTGAGTAGCTGGGACTACAGGTGTGCACCACTAGGCCCAGCTAATTTTTTAATTTTTTTGCAGAGACAAGGGTCTTGCTATGTTGCCCAGGCTTGAACTCCTGGCTTCAAGCCATCCTCCTGCCATGGTCTCCCAAAGCTCTGGGATTACAGAGCTGATCTCTATCTTCCTTTCTCTGTCTTTTTTTTTTTTTTTTTCTCTCTGTTCTTTCTTGCTCCCTGCCTTTTACTTTTTCTTAGAACTGTCCCTGGAGGCGACACAGGAAACCAGCATGAATCCCACAGGACTAAGAGCTCAGTTGATGAGTATCAATGAAAAAGAGTAAAACTCTGTAAAATATTTGAAAATATTTACTCTGAGCCAAATATAAGAACCATGACCTGTGACAGCCCCAGGAAGTCCTGAGAACAGGTGCCCAAGGTGGTCAGGCTACAGTTTAGTTTTATAAGTTTCAGGGAGACATAAGACATCAATCAATATATGTGGGGGTATACATTCATTTGGTCTGAAATATGGGACAGCTCGAAGTGGGGGCTTCCAGGTCATAGGTAGATTCGAAGATTTTCTGATTGGCAGTTGGTTAAAAGAGTTAAGATATTACCTAAGGACCTGCAATTTACAGTAAGGTATGTCTGGGTTTAGATAAGGGGTTGTGGACACCAAGGTTCTTGTGCAGAAGATGCTTCCAAACTAGCAGGCTTCAGAGAGAATAGAAGTTAAATCTTAGTTAAATCTCTCCCAGATCAGGGAAAAGACCTGGAAAAGGAAGGGATTCTCTACAGAATATAGATTTTCCTCACAAGAGACAGTGTTGCAGGGCCATTTCAAAATATTTCAAAGAAATATATTTTGGGGGAAAATACTTTAATTTATTTCAGGGCCTGCTATCTGTCATATGATGCTATACTAGCGTCAGATTGGAATTTGGTATCTTATTGCTACAAAGAGTCTGTTTTTTCAGTCTTGAGATCTCTGTTTTAGTGTTAATGCTGGTCAGCTGAGCCTGAATTCTAAAAGAGGCTAGAAGGAGGCATGTGTGACTCTATCTTCCCATGATGGCCTGAAATCATTTTTTAGGTTTACTTTGGAACGACCTTGGCTGAGAAGGGGCGTCCATCAGTGAGTTGGGGGCTTAGAATTATATTTTTCGTTACCAAAATATACCCTGAAAATCTGAGACAGGTCTCAGTTAATTTAGAAGGTTAATTTTGCCAAGGTTGAGGATGCATGCCTGTGACACGGCCTCAGGAGGTCCTAACAACGTGTGCCCAAGGTGATCAGAGCACAGTTTGTTTTTATACATTCTATGGAGACATGAGACATCAATCAACGTATACAAGATGAACATTGGCTTGGTCTGGAAACGGGACAGCTCGAAGCAAAGGCGGAAGATTCGAAGCGGGGAGGAGGATTCCAGGTCATAGGTCGAAAAGAGAAAAATGGTTGCATTCTCTTCAGTTTCTAATTACCTTCTCCATTTATGCATTTATCTCAGTGAGCAGAGGGGCGACTTTGAATAGAATGAGAGGCAGATTGGCCCTAAACAGTTCCCAGCTTGACTTTTCCCTTTAGCTTAGTGATTTGGGGGCCCCAAGATTTATTTTCCCTTCACAACATGAATAATTACCACCTTCCTCTCTGCGTTCTCTTTTCTTCATTTCTTGCTCCTCCCTGCTCTCAGACACCAGTCCATGGGGTGGGTGTTTGAGCTGGAAGTGGGACACAGGAGGGAGTGCTCTGCTCTAAGGAGAAATCAGAACATTTTGTTTACTCCCAAATCATTCATAGGGTCCAGGAGATTGGGGAAATTCCGGACCTGAATCAGAATTTAAGTCATCTTCAGGCTCCGGGATTTGGAGTGGACCTGAGCCTGTGCTGGACATGAAAACCAGCTGATAAAAGAAAAAATTTAGACAAATTGAAATTAACAAAATTTAATTGAGCAAAGGATGATTCACGAATGAGGCAGCCCTCAGAACCAGAATAGGTTTAGAGATTCAAGGGCTGCCCCATGGTTGGGTAAGATTTATGGACCGAGAAAAGGAAGTGATGTACAGAAAGCAGAAGTGGGGCACAGAGTTAGGTGGACTGGTGACAGCTCAGCGTTTGCCTTACTTGAACCTGGTTTAACAGCTGACCACCTGGGATTGGCTGAGACTCAGCGACCTGTTACAAGAGCACGTTACAGTCTGTTTAGACACCCAGTTGGGTGACAGT